GAGGGGTGGCTAGAGTTGGCTGATCGCTGACCTTCAGAAGCCCAGTGGGCATATCTATCCATTCAGCGCTTCTCACTCCGAAGACTCACTGCCGTCCAGTGATGCCGGCTCGTGGTGACGGGACTGGGCAGGGTAGAGCTGCCCCTGTGGGTTTTCGAGGCTGTAAATCTCTCAGGGAGTAGAAAGCCTCATCTTTCTCCCTCAGAGCCTCTGGCCGTTTTGAACGGTCCCACCTGGGCTCCTTTTTCAGCGTTTAATCACCCTCATCTCCCCTCCCGATGGGAAACCTCTCCAGCCCAGGGTTGCATGCGTTCACCCCTCGAAGGGCCACGCAGGCCGTGGGCTTGCACCAGACCCTCCCGGGGCGGGGCGGTCACCCCACGGGGACATGGGCTGCCCAGTGGTGGTCCCCACTCCCTCCCGGCCTGCCACTCCCGAGCCGCGTTGCCAATCTCCTCTCCCAGGCAGGGAACCAAGCAAGATGCTTTGACAGAAATGTCTTTTTTTTTTTCTGCCTACCACCAAGGACTAATCACCAACTCCCCTGTTAACGACACACTCCGTAGCACTGCGGTTGTAGCGATGACACTGTTGCCGCAGATGCGCGCGCACAGGCGCAGACAGCAGCAGCCGCTGAGAGGGCCGGCGGGCAGGTGCACGGGCGCTCACCGATTGCTTCTCTTTCAGGCTTTGATTACTACTATGGAATCCCGTACAGCAACGATATGGGCTGCACGGATACCCCGGGCTACGACTACCCCCCTTGTCCGGCGTGTCCCCAGAAGAACGGCTCCTCACGGTAATGCCACAGGGAGTTCACTCCCACAGCTGCTCTCTGAAGGGCTGGAGGTCTGCATCCTCCTGGAAGCATCTGGACCTGCCGACAACCCGGCCGCTCGAAGCCCCACGGTGGAGCGCAGCTGGGCTGCGACCCCCGTGGGGCCGCCCGCACAGTCTCGGCAGGGTTCTTCAAGGTGTTTGCTGCACACTGCTGAACCAACGGGGGTCTTCAGGGAGCCCCTGTGAGAGGCAGGCAGGTGACAGCGACAGACGGTCATGAGCCAGAGGGCTGTACATCTGGTGCAGACTGAGATGCGTGTGTTCTTTGCACTCAATGCAAGAATACTTTTAGAAACGAAGAGGTCAGTGGGAAGCCTCTATTGGAATTTTCCAGGTCGCCTGGCCTGCTTCACTCAGCTGCGGGGGGGACCGCGTCCTGCCAGGGCCTCCCACCAGCAGGCCCCTCTCCCTCTGCCTGTTGGCTCTGCTCCTGGGCCACTCACCTGGCGCAGACTCAGGACAGAAGGAAGGAGAGGGAGAAGGGCTGCCTGCCAGCCTCCCTCTCCTCTGCACCCAAGTGGGCTGCCATTCCGGTCCCGGGTCTCACGCAGGCTTCCCACGGATGTTTTAAGGACTGGGCAAACACTCAGTGGTAATAGGAAGTGAATGTGGTGGACAGTGTGAGCTTCTCTGCTTCTCCCCAGGGGGTCTCTGTAGCCCTATCCAGAGAGCCGAGAATGAAAGAGGTCAAGAAGTGAGGGGGGTCAAGAAGTTGTGGGACTGCCACCTTTCACGTTCCGAGTTGGCATCGTCTTTCCCAAATGCTCCCTAATGCACACGCAGTGCATTTGTGATCAGAAAAAGAATCGCCAGGCTCCTATGGGCCATGAAGCAACACAGGGTCTCCTGGACAGAGCTGAAGTGGTGGTCAGGGTGGGGCAAGGTCCCACATGTCCGAGCCACTTGGAGAGGGCGAGTCCCTGCTGACTCTGTCATAGTTGAATGGTTGCCACAATACTGTCCCTTTGCAGACAGGCCATTATGTTATAGGCACGCTGTGTACCTACCTCCCTGTAACCCACCCACATGATGTCAGAGGGCTGTTTGTCCCAGGCTTCCAGGGAAGGGGGCCTTGCCCAGGTCGAACCAGAACTGGTGGAAGTGGTGCTGGTGTGTTGTCTAGTTGATTCTGATGCATGGGACCCCCACCCAGACCAGAACTGCCCCATGAGCTTTCCAATTGCTTTCATTAGGGGACCACACCGTGCACCGCCTAGTGTGTTTGAACCATCAACCTTTCGGTTAGCAGCTGGATGCTTAATCACTGTGCTACCTGGCCTCCTCTCAAGGGCTGGGAAAAGGTGGGAATGGAGGTTTCAGGCCAGGGCTCTGCACGATCAGTGTCCATGCTCCGGAAAACTTACTTCTCAGCGGGGGCGGGATTTGCTAGGGGATGTTGAGTCTCAGGGAGCACCTCTGAGAATCTGCATTTGAACCAGACACCTCGATGACCAGAGTGCTCAGTACCCACTGCCCTCCTTACCCATTGTGGCAGGGGGCTGGCCTGTCATCACGCCTGGCACCTCCCAGCCCTAATGAGGTATGGCGTGTATCTGACAGCCCTTTAAAAATCCCTATTAAAATCCAGTGGAAAGGGGAGGCCATGGAGTGATGGTGGCGTTGCCATGAGATCATCAAAAGCCGAAAAATGCAACGCAGATGGAGTTCGATACTGTCACTTGCCCCCTCTTTTCAGCAGCGCGTGGTCCTTGCTCAGCAGTGGCCATGCGCTTATGTGGGGCGGGAGATGTGAGGTTTGAGTTTGTGCAAAACAGACTCACTGCCACCGAGTCGCTTCTGACTCATCTGAACCCTTTATAACAGGTATAGACTCATAGCCTATGGGTTTCTGAGACTCTGGCTCTTTATGGGAGTTGAAAGCCTCTTTTTTTCTTATGAGGAGGGGCTGGTGGCTTCGAACTGCTGGCCTTGCGGTGAGCAGCCGATTTGTAACCCTCTCCGCCACCAGGGCTCCTTTGCGCTTGTGTAAGAGGCTGTGTTAAAATTCACCGTTAGGGCAGGTCACTGGCCTGAGAGGTCTCCTGTTCTCTCTGTTGGTCTCAGCTTCACTCCTGGTCTCTGTGTCAGTCAGGATAAAGGGAGTTCATGCCCAACAAGCCGTGAGGCCCGCCTGCCAGGCACGTTCGGTTCAGCAGTAGAAGTCTCGCCTCCCACATTTCCTGCCGGTGTACACAGACATCCCCCGGTCGTCAGAGGAGGCATGCTTGTTGTGATACTGAGCAGGTTTCCACAGAGCTTCCAGACTAAGATAGACGAGGAAGAAAGGCCTGGCAGTCCACTTCTGCAAATCAGCCAGTAAAACCCTATGGGACACCCTGGTCTAATCCCCAGTGGATCGTGGGGATGGTGCAGGACGGGGCAGTGCTGAGGTCTAAGAGCCCAAGCTGAGAGCAGCTCACAACAGCACAGAGAAGTGCTGAGCAGTGGTCAAAGCCCTAACCATTCATTCCCTGTGCAGCCCTCACAGATCCCTGCCATAGGGCTGGGGGCGTCCCCGGGCTACAGGTAAGGACGCTTAGCTCTTTGAGCTCGCGTGCCTTGCCCACAACCACAGCCAGCGCAATCCCTCACCATACGCGGATGAGATCAGATTCATCTGGACGGGTAAAGACTGGTCCGAGTTGATTTTCCCAGAAGATATGACCAATTTGACCCCTCCCCACCCTAGTTGCTCAAGTTTCTCTAAATTTCCCACATGTGGTTTGTCATGGAAATCGCCCTGTTGTTGTTGCCATTGGCAGACAATACCAACTGCAGTTCCGGTTGTTGGTTTAGGAAAATACTGGCCCCTGCAACTATGGATTCCACTGCTGTCCGGTCGAAGCTGACTCATCGGCAGAGTAAAACTTCCCCAGCGGGTTGCCAAAGCCATAAATCTCTGGTCAGACCACCGGCGTCTTTGTTGTGGGGGATGACTGATGGAGCTGCACCAGGGAGGTGGCGGTGGTTCGGTGCCACTGAGTGGTTCTGACTCATAGCAGCACTGTGCACGGCAGGAGAAAATACCGCCCGGTCCTGAGCCACCTCACAATAAACAGCAGATACGTTTGAACCCCTTGTGGCAACCAGGGTGTTAATCCACCTCATCAAAAGTCTTCTCCTTTTTTTTGCTGGCCCACTACCTTACCAAGCATGAAGTCCTTCTCACGATCTGTCTTGATCGCAAGTCCAAACTGCATGAGACCTAGTGTCACCGTCCTCGACTCTAAGGAGCATGCTGGCTACACTTCTTCCAGGCCGTGTTTGTCATTCTGGTAGTCCGTGCTACCTGTCATATAGTCTTTGCCAGCACCACAATTCAAACGCCCCAGTTCTCTGTTGTTCAGCTTTCACATGCAGATGAGGCGAAGGAAAATACCATGGCTTGGGTCAGGCCCACCTTAGTCTTCAAAGTGACATTTCTGCTCTTTGACACTTTAAAGGTGTCACTTGCAGCTAATTGGCCCAATTCAGTCTGTCACTGGATTTCCTGACTCCTGCTTCCCCGAGAATTGGTGTGGCTCCAAGCAAGATGAAATTCTTGACAGCTTCGATCTTTTCTCCATTTATTATATATTATCGATCCTGTTCTGAGGATCTTGGTTTTCTCTGCAGTGTGTCGTAATCTATACTGAAGCCTGCATTCCTGCATCTTCATCTTGCTTGGGTGTGGGACATGGGACCTTTTTTAAATCAATAACTTCAGTTCATCTGGGACTTCTTTCTTCAGTACCTCTGGTTCTTGATCGTATGCTACCTCTGGAAATGGTTGAATGTTGATCAGTTATTTTGGTACAGTGATGCTGGGTGATCCATCTTTTGATATTTCCTGTGCTGTGTAATATTTGGTTCATTGTTCGGTGCAGTTGAGTTGGTCCCGGCCCATAGCAACCTATACACTGCCTGGTCCTGCACCAGCCTCACAAGGGTTCCTAGGGGTGAGCCCATGGCTACAGTCACTGTGTCAGTCCATCTCCTGCCCCTGGACTTTACCAAACCCGATGCTGCCCTTCTCCAGGCACAGGTCTCTCCTGACAGCATGTCCAAAGTGTGCAAGACAAAGCCTCGCCATCCTTGCCTCTAAGGTATTTATAGAACCTTCTATAGTGAAACGGCAGGCTTGAACTTCTTCCTTAGGGTTGTTTTTTTTTTTTTAAGCTGGAGAAATGCTGAGCGTGTTCTCGCCTTTGGGTTTTCAGACTCCACGTCTTTACACAAATACTTCACTCTATGGTCTTGAGCTGCCTTTCTAAGCTATCTGCCCAGTTCTTTCACGTCACTCTGCCAAGAGGAAGCCCCAGTCTGTCCTGACATCCTTTTGCCTTTTCTTTCTTCTCCGTGACCTCTTACTGCGTTCACGAATGATGTTCTTGATGTCATCCCACGCTCGGCTTGTCTTCAGTCATTTGTGTTCAGGGCATCACATCTGTTTTTTTCAAGGGTCTCTAAATTAAGGTGGGAGATACTCAAGGTCGTATTCTGGCTCTCCATGGACTTGTGTTCATTTTCTTTAGCTTCAACCTGACTTTGTCTATGAGCAATGGGTGGTCCGCTCCACAGTCAGCCTCTTGGCTTGTTTTAGCTTCTCCATCACCTCTTCCCATAGAAGGAGTCGGTTTAACTCCTGTGTACTTCATCCGCGAGGTCTACGTGTGTCGTTGGTTTATATTGTTGGAAACAAGCATTGGCAATGAAGAAGTTAATGGTTTTGCAAAATGATGTCATGTGATCTCCACCTTCATTTCTATTTATTTTCCACCTATCAATCCTTCCTGTTTGTTTCCAACTCTCATATGCTAGTAGTTACGGTGCATTTTTATTGCATGCTTGATCAATTTCCAACTAAAGAAATGGTAGAGTCCTTCGGTTTCTTCATCATTGGCTTTAGAGGTTGGTGCGTACGTTTGAATAATAGTTGTTTTAACTATCCTTCCTGTTGGCATATGGACATATCCTTTCACAGACAAGCGAGACCTTTTTTCTCACCCCAAAACCGTTTTATCGGGAGCTCTTACAGATCGCATAACCATCCATAGTTAAAGCACAGCTGGTACAATCGCTACCACAGTCATTTTCAAAACACTCTTTCCTCTTGAACTTGACATCAGCTCCACTTAAACCCCCACCGTCCCGGACGAGCTGGATCTTGAAATATTCTTTTTGATGAGAAATGTGATGACATTTGTCATTTGTCTTCAACTTTTCATTCCGAGCATAGTCAACCGTCTCATTCAAAGTGGCCAATCCCAGTCCTTTCCAACTCAGTCATACTTTTGGATATTGATCTTTATGCATTTGTGCGAGTCCAGGTCGACTAGAGAAACAAATCCAGAGACACGCGTGTGTGTCTGAAAGAGCTTTATATAAAGAGTAATTGTGTATTAAGAAAACATCCCAGCCCAGTCCAGATCAAGTCCACAAGTCCATTATTAGCCCATATGTCCACGACCAGTTCATAAATTCCTCTTTAGACTCACGCAGCACATGCAATGATGCTAAACACAGGAAGATCACAGGCCAGTGGATAGCAAGTCTTATGGATCCAGTGGTAGTGGAAGCCTCTTAGCACTGGCGTAGGTCTCCACGTGGCTCCTCCAGCTCCAGGGCTCTGGCTCCCTCAGCATAGCTCCATGTGGCTTATCAACAGGAACGTGTAGCAGAGAGTGTGGGTCTGGCCTCCAGTGAGCTATTTACCTCCTTTGCGCCTCCAAATGAGGTCATCAAGTTGTGACCTGTTTGACAGGCTAACCTCCACCTCATCGCTCTTAATTGTCTCAATTGGACACCAGATGATGTAAGTACCACAGTCAGATTCATAGGTCGGACGTTCCACATTCCAGTTATTAGTGTATGTCCACAGCTGTTTCTCCTCCTTTGGAGTCATGCTCCATCCGCAAGCGAAGGTCTGGGAGGCTTTGCTCTGCTGTCCACATCGTTAAGGGCTACTGGACTTTGGGGAGGCAGCTCTTCTCCAGATCTGTTTTGAGCATCTTCCAACCTGCAGGGTTGGTCTTCCGGCACCATATGTTCCGACAGCGCTCGGCTGCCGCTCACCTGCGTTTCAGTCGTCACTCAGAAGCGGACAGCTTCTTATGTCTAGGGTGCCTTTGTCTGGAAACGGAAAGTTATCTACCGTGGGTGACCCTGCTGGCACTTGAAATATTGGTGGCATCGTTTCCAGCATCACAGCACCCAAAGCTGCCACAGCAGGACAGATGGCTGGGTGGTGGTCCCCATAAATAGAGGCTCTCCTTTAGACAGGACTGTGGAAAACTGCCGGGAGGTAAGCCTACTGCTGATGGGCTAGGACAGTGGTTCTGAACCTTCCTAATGCCACGACCCTTACATACAGTTCCTTGTGTTGTGGTGACTCCCCAACCCTAACCTTATGCATGTTGCTACGTTATCGCTGTAACTGTGCTACTGTTACGAATCGGGCGACCCCTGTGAAAGGGTTGTTCGACCCACATGTTGAGAACCGCTGGGCCAGGTGATGCCCCTGGACTGGTTATACCTCAGTCCCTCTGCAAAATGGGAGTGATATTGCCCCCAGCTGACCGCAGTCTTTGTGAGAAGTGGGCACGGCAGCTCTGTAGAATGGGTGGCTTGCCCGCAGACCTTCGGCACTTGCTCAAGGCGAGTGGAAAGAACCCTTCGATTGGGTTTCCAATGGGAGGAAAGGGCACATGGGCCCAAGCATGTGGGCCAGGCTGCTAAGTGTTTTGTGCTTGCATGCATGAGAGCCTTTGCCTCCAAGGTTACGGGAATGAATCGGCTGTTGTGTGTGGTTTCCATCCAGGCACCCTGAGAGAGCCTGTTCTACGGACGTGGCCCTTCCTCTGTACGAAAACCTCGCCATCATCGAGCAGCCCGTCAGCCTGAGCGGCCTGGCGCAGAAGTACGCGGACAAAGCCACCCAGTTCATTGAGGATGCCCGGTGAGATGCTGCCCCACTCCTCTGCATCCGCCGTGCTCTCCCCAAAGCCACGCCACGGCCAAAAAAGCTGGGTGCTTTGTTATGTGTCTATGGTGTTATGTTATGGTGCTATGTGTCTCCTATAAGTAAGATGGAAAAACCATCCCTCTTGGGATCCTCAGCCTGGTGTCAGCTTCTGGGGGTCCTGGGGGTGGAGCCCCCGAAGGGTTGGGACCCTGCTCTGCTCTTGGGTGGTTCTCTGCGCCTGCCGCTGCCCACCTTGTGCTTTCTGCAGTGGCTCTTGTGGACATCTGCTCTCTGCCAGCCTGGGTCCAGAGTCCGCCTTGAGTCTGAGGGGAGGAAACCCTGGAGCTGGGAGGGCTGTCCCTTCTGCAGGCCCCCAGGGAGGACCCGCCCTGCTGCTTCCTCCAGCCCACAGTGGTAAAGCCTCCACCCGACAATGTGCTTCCTGGGTGGTGGTGCCAGTCTTCTCTACGGAGCCCACAGATGCTCGTGAGAGCGCTCCCCTCCAGACCCTACCCTTCAGAATAGCTCACCAGGGGCCACACAAGGTGAGACTCACAGAGTGCAGGAAGTAGGACCTGGTATGCTTGGGGGTCATTATTCAGCTTGTAACAAGGGGTGACAGATGCCAGCACTGGAGGGCCCAGTGGGGAGCTGGCTGAGTTCGAGACCTGAGGGAGTGGCGTGGACTATGGTGACCTTGCGAGCACCGGCTGTCTAGAGGGCAGCCCGGCCTACTCCCTGCTGCCGTGGTTCCTGGGAAGGTACGGCCTAGTTGCTGTTCAGAGAGAGAGGCAGAGAGGTGCCTGGATCTGCCAGGAAACCACCTGGTCTCCCCCCTTCGCAACTGATGCCAATGAAGGGCAACCCGAAAATGACGGAGATGGCCGTGGTGGGTGTCTAAGAAACCCTGCACGTGTGAAGGCAGTGGGTGGGCAACCTCCGAGGGGCCTGGGAAGCATCATGGACACCCCCACTTGCCCACATGTACCTTTGGAACAAGCAGGCACACGCTCCCCTCGGGTACAAGCATTTACAAGCATGAAGCAGCTTGCCCATGGTCTTGCAGGGAGACAGCAGAAGACATCAGAGTCCAGCCTAAGGAGTCTGGCTCGAGTCCACCCTCTTAAGTACCACCACCGGACAGGGCCTGCCTCGGGCCCTGCAGGAACCTAGTGGTGTGGTGGGTTAAGTGCTGTTTCCCTTCTGTTTAAGTAATGGGCCTGGTTTTTCCCCATCATCCCTCCTACAACCAAAACAGGAGGGTTTTGTTAACCATTTAGCAAACTGGGGCCCTACAGATATGGGAAATGCTATAGACTAACTCTCTCCCCAAGGGTGTGGGGGATTCCAGCATACGGAATTTAAGCAGGCATTTCAGCACCTCTTAGACTCCTTACAAATACTTGTACAAGCATTCACAAACTCATCTCCGGTACAAGCACTCACACACTCACCCAGGTACAAGCACACGCAAACTCATCTCTGGTACAAGCACTCACACACTCACCTTGGGTACAAGCACACACACACACACACACACACACACACACACACACTCACGCAGGTGCAAGCACACACTCGGGCATAAGCACGCACACACACACACACACACTCACCTCAGGTACAAACACACACTCACCTTGTGTACAAGCATTTACACACCTTGGGTACAAGCACTCATACCCTCACCTCTTATACAAGTACACACACACACACACACACACACTCTCTCTCTCACACCTCTTGTACAAGCAGGCACTCACAGACACTCCTTGCCCCCTTGCCTCACGCCCTCTTCTGACCCCTGGGGTTTTTCACACCCTGAAATGGAAAAGCCCAACCAACAAAGCCCAGCAGGCTGGCTGGCCGCCACTTGTGTCAGTGTAGAAATAGAGCCCCTGGTGATCCCGGTCTTCATAGCCAAAGACCAAACTCAACCCACTGCCACAGAGCTCACCGGGGCGCATCTGGGCCCCATGGGACAGAGTAAGGCTGCTCCCTAGGGCTTAGGGGAGCAGGGAACCTCAGCTTTCTCCCGTCCGTGAGTGGATTCTAACGCCTGCCTTTGTGGCTAGTAACCCACCTCAGTCAAGGCTCAGCCTTAAATATGCAAGGCTCTTCCTTCTCCACCTGCCCCTCCCCCAAGGGCCATCTCTCTGGAATTGCCTAGCAGGAAGGCCGGGATAGAGGCGACCAGGTGGGCAGATCCAGTCGTCTGCTTCATCCTGGTACAGCCTTCAGAGGGGCCTGTGTGCAGCAGCTCCCAAGGGTGCCAGCAGTGGACCAGCAAGGCCCTTCCCCATCACCGATCACAAATGGCCGCTCCCAGCGCCCTAGAGTTCCAAGGTGACTCAGGCCCTGCCCCCTGTGACAGGGAAGTGGAATGGAGGGCGGCCGTGTGGCTTCCAAAGCTGGACCATGGCCCACCCAGTGTCCTGAGATGGAGTCATGACAGCTGGCCGCGGGGCTGGGCTAGGGATCGTTAATGCCCTTTGTGAGGTGGACATCTGCCACCTCCAGTGACTTAAATGGTTAATCAAACTGGTTCAGGAGTCACTGAAAAGGCAGACAAAAGCAGTGGCAAGCACCTTCTCATGCGCACCTGGGCAAGAATGTGCCGATGTCTGACTCCGTTATTAAGTTGGGAGTCGCCAAGGCCCTCTTGGCTTTGCATTTCACAGAAGGCAATGCTGTTGATCCCTCGGGGAAGCAGCCTGCTGAGTCTCAACGGTGTCTCCGATTGCCAGCAGGTGGGGGGCGGGCGATACCAAGTACCAGGTATCCCTGGAGTATGACCTCCTGCTCCTAAGCCCATGTTTGCTGTTGTCGTCGTTGTTAGGTGGCACGGAGTTGGTTCTGTCCCACCCTGCGCACAGCAGATGGAAACACTGCCAAGTCTTGCGCCAGCCTCACAACTGTTCTTCTGCTCGTGCCCATTGTCGCAGCCACTGTGTCCATCCATCTTGTCCAGGGTCTTCCCGTTTTCCTCCGCCTCTCTACCAACCACGATGTTCTTCTCCAGGGACTGGTCTCGTCAGATCACATGTCCAAAGTAGGTGAGACGAAATCTCACCATCCTTGCTTCTCAGGAGCATTCTGGCTGTATTTCTTCCAGGACAGATGTGTCTGTTCTTTTGGCAGGCCATGGTACTTTCAACATTCTTCACCCTCATCATCGTTCAAACGCATAGATTCTTCTTTGTACTTCTGTAGTCAGCAGCTAACTTTTGCAAGCATATGAGGCAACTGAAAATACCCTGGCTTGGGGACCTTAGTCCTCCAAGTCACCTCCCTGGTTTTCAACACTCTAAAGAGGATTTTTGCAGCAGATTTACCCAATGCGATGTGCCTTTTGATTTCTTGACTGCTGCTACCATGAGCATTGATTGTGGATCAAAGCAAGATGCAATCTTTGACAACTTCAAGCCCAGATTTATGGGTATAAATATGAACTTAACTCATTGCCATCGAGTCGGTTCTGACTTGTAGCCACCCTATATGTAAACCAGCAACCAGTTGCCTTAAATCCATTCCCACTGCTCTCAATCCTCTAATTGGGATTGACATTCTCAGCCACCCCAACTCAAAGCAGTGGCCATGGACGCCACTCTAATTTATGGCGCCCCCTTGTGGTCAGAGTAGAACTGCATGCCACCGGGGGCTGATTTTCCTGATTGCGAAGTTGTGCATGGGGCTACAATCTACAAGGTCCACAGTTCAAAACCGCCAACCTGTCCGAGGGAGAATGATGAATCTCTCCCCTCCCGTAGAGTTTCAGCCATGAAAACTCACAAGGGCAGTTCTACCCTGTTCTATCGGGTCACCATGAGTCAGCATCAACTCGATGGCAGTGAGTTCAGTTTTGTTTTGTTTTGTTTTTAATCGTTTTATTGGGGGCTCGTACAATTCTTATCACAATGCATCCATCCATCCATGTGTCGAGCACACTTGTACATTTGTTGCCATCATCATTCTCAGGGTTTGGGGTTTTGAGGGCCAGACCTTTCTTTGGAGGTGCCTCTGCGTGCACTTGAACTTCCAAATTTGGGGTTTGTTGCTGAGTGTGTTCACTGTTAGCACCACCCAGGGACTTGCTTCTTCTCCTGCTTGGCTTCTCTTCTGGGTTTGGGCAAGGCAGGGGACCCACACCCTAAGCCTCCTTTGAGTTTTTCCTGGGGTCTTTACCTAGCATCGGTGCTGAAGGTTAATGCTTGGTCTGCAGGAAGCAAAGCTAGGACTGGCCAGGCAGGGGAGCCCAGGTGGCCAGGGCGCCTGGTCTCTGAGCTAGGCAATCCTGTGCTCCTCCCAAGGCCTGGGCTGCCCCTCAAAACGGAACAGGAGGCCCAGGGCCTGACAAGGGTGTGTGCTGTCAATGTAGAACCAAACCTGGACTCTAAAATGCAGCGGCTTTCTTCAGAAAGGAAAGGAAAATGGCTTATTGCACCGGGGAGGGGTGTGCCGTGAGAGAGGACACTCGGACCCTGAGATGTGTTCGTTCATGGGCTTGTCTGCTAACCCAGTAGCACTGCAGGAGAAAGGCCCTGATCGACTTGTAAATCATTACCTATCGAAACCCTGTGGGGCGCACCCGGACTACCCCGGGTTCACCGGTCAGCTGGCATGACCAGTGTTCCAAGCCGTGGACTGTTCCAACTGCTGGAGGTGCACCTGAAAACAAGCCCGAGCCCTTATGTCTCTCCAACACCGTCCTGCTTCCCTCTGTGACGCGGTCCCTATCTGGCCATCGCTGTCCCTTTAGCTTGTCTACATGTGTCCACCATGCGGCTGTCACCTCTTCATCGTCCACCCAGCTCCCAGGAACGCCAGCTGCACCCATGAGCGGGCACCTCACCCCTTGCCCCTTCTCCCTTCTGCCGGAACACTCATGAGGAATAGCAACAAGTGAATGAATAGAGTCAGACACCCCCCCACACACACACCCCCTCACCCCAGCTCCGGTCCTGAAGGTGAAGGAAGGAAGGATTTGGTCTCTT